ATGTTTGAAGAATTGGAGGAAAAGACACTTTCGTTAGCCATTACTGACATGTCATTAGGGATGACAACCCTTGAGGGCTCGTACGCTAAGATTATTGCAAAAAGTAATGAAAAAGATGACAAAAAATTGTTGAATAACTTTAAAAACATTCAAAATAATGAAAATCTAATGAATGAGAGCTTTCTTTGCGAGACAACTCAACAAATATCAAAATTTGCACTCATTTTAAGCCAAATCTACGGAATATTCATAAAACGATTGCATTATATATCTATGAATTTCACACAATTATTCACTTTAATTATAATTCCTGTCATTTCCGTTATAATGCTTTTCGTGACAATTAATGGATTTTTTATGCTTGAAGACTACTTTGGGCACAAAATTACGATTGATTTAAACAGCGACAGTATATATGGGAAGGGTATGAAAGGTTTTGTACTCACAAATAATACTGGATTTTCTAAAAGCTATTCTCAAGTGTTGGATAATAATGGTATGAAAAACATAAATCTGGAAAGTGATGGACACAAAGACATTCAACAATCACTCGTAAACTATTCATCCGAAAGTTTAATCAATTATTTTCATAACTTATTAATCGGTGTCACGACTGATACCACCGATAATAAGACAATTAATTACAACGTTTGGCACAATTATATCGCATACCATTCACTACCTATTTCTGTAAATCTAATGACAAACGGATTACTCAAACAATTAACACCGGATAAGGACTACAAGATTAGTGTCGCAAATAAACCGTTACTAATAGACATGAGTGGCACTGGTATACCACGGTATAGACAAAGACTATATATGATCGGAGGTATATTGTTTGGAACCGATTATGTGATCTTCTTATGTGTCCTATCCTTCACATCCGCCGCATATGTCTTACAACCTCTGACTGAATGGCGAAATAAATTCAAATTAATTCAATACATCTCTGGACTCAATCCACTCGTCTATTGGTTCACTAACTTTGTCTTTGACTTCATTTTGCACTCAATCTGTTCACTCATTTATGTTATGGTTTACTACATGTCGGACACAAACTCCTATTTCATGGCAACAGAATATTCTGTGATATCCCTATACCTGGCGTTCATGTCATACGGAATGGCATTCATTCCGTTCGCATATTTGGTGTCATTTATGTTCACAAAGGCGTCGACAGGCTTTACGTTCATTGCATTGTATAACATAATCGGTGGCACTGTATGTGAATTAATACATGTAGTTTTAACCGACAGATATAAGGAGAACTATAGCTGGAAAATAACATTATGGTTAAGACACCTATTACTTGAAATGACATCATTTATAGCGCCTAATACACTATTAGCCGAATGTATAGATTATTTAAATCAAATATTCAGTGAAAATAGCATGTGCAATCTACTGAATGAAATCGATCCCCAAAAAACATACTGCTCAGTTAAAAATGACCAATATTACTATAATGAACCCATGTGCTGTCTACCAAAATGCAATTCCACACAAATTTCTTATGATAAACGGTTTGTACAACAGGTTTATGTCAGTCGTTATTATACATTATGTTTTGACCACCACAATCCATTTGATTATCTGTTTAAATATATGAGCCGGTTCATTATCTACGGCTTTCTATACATAGTTATTGTGATTATCATAGAAACCAAATATTATAGAAAAATGTGTGAATTATTTAAGAGATTTTTTGGCAAAAGCTGTGATAATAAGAATGCGATTGAATTGCTGGAAGTGAGAGACAGTCCGCCAGACGTACGACAAGAATACGAAACGGTTTCACAACTCATAAGAAGTGAAAACTTTGAAAGCGTTTCACTGATTGTCGACAAACTGAGCAAAAGTCTCAACAAAAACACTACAATTCCTAATGAGATCTCATTTGTGGTCAATAAAGAGGAATGTTTCGGATTATTGGGAACTAATGGCAGCGGAAAGACGACAACCTTTCGACTACTGACCGGTGATCTCGACTTAGACTCCGGTAACGCATACCTGGGCTCACACGCAGACCTACTGACAAATCGGAGACAATTCTACTCACGAGTGGGTTATTGTCCACAAAATGACGCCCTTTTGGATGGACTGACAGGCCGTCAAACACTGGTCTTCTTCGGCCGCATCAGAGGTGTTGAGCGGAAAGCCTTAGAAAAGTTTGTCTCAAATATATGTGTTGTGTTTGAATTGAAAGCAATTCTCGACAAAAGGGTTACGACTTATAGCGGCGGCAATCGTCGCAAACTATCGCTGGCCGTCGCACTCATAGGCCGTCCCCTCGTCCTACTGCTCGACGAGCCGACCACTGGTGTGGACCCCGACTCCCGACTCAGCATTTGGTGTCTATTACGAGATCTCATGGTTTGCCAAAAGGTGTCGATTGTGTTGACTTCGCATAACATGACTGAATGTGAGGCCCTTTGCAGTCGTTTAGCGATTGTCTCCAAAGGGGTCCTCAAAGCCATCGGATTCACGGCTCACTTGAAGTCCTTTTACGCCAAAGGCTTTGATCTGATCGTCAAAGTGAAGAGCGATTCAAACGAAGTGATTGTCGACGAAGTGAAGAGACGTATGAATGACATGTTTGGCGACAACTGTGTCGAGAAATACGACAATTTTGGTGTCATTTACTATAACCTGCAGTCAGTGGACAGTAGGTTATCGCAAATCTTTCAGTCATTGAATCAATTGAAACGCGAATTGCATTTCGAGGACTACTTCGTGTCCAACGCCAGTCTCGAACAGGCATTCCTCCACATGATTGCCACTCAAGATACCAGTCCTTCGGATGAATAAAATCTATTATAATTATCATAAAACATCTTTTTAATGATTTATTATTTTATAGTAATAGATAGATTATATTATATATACTGTACAAGAGTATATTTATTATGTAATTCTTGTAATTTTTAAAAATATACTACAATTACTAATAAAGTAATTTAATGAAATAAATAAATAATTTGTCTTTTACTATAATTTATTGTTCATTAAATACAATCAATTCAAATTGGCCTAAGATAATGAGTACAGGCTACTAATTTTAAATATCTGTATTGTTAAATTATATGTTTCATGATAACTAAATTTAAGTGCTGTATTATTTCTGAATCTAAACTTTAGTTATTAATTTAATTTTCAAATAAATTATAAAAATAAGTAAATTATAAGTAACGAATGTGCAATTATGGTAATACTGTAATATAATTGTTGTTTACATTCAATTACAATATATTTAAGAATTCTTAGAAATTTATAACTTTAATTTCTAATTAATAAACTAAACGTATCGGGATAAACATGAAAAAGTCTAGTAACTAATGTTATCTACTATTATATAAATTAAATAAATTATTGATATCTAACTATTAAGTTGTCAGATATATAATAAGTCTTGTGTTTGCTTTTAAAAAAAGGACTGGCCTTCCAGTCCCATTGAAGGACATGTTTTTCAATTGATTACACAATTAATAGCATTTACGAGTAAATTATATTATCATAAATAATGTGTTACTCTAAATAGGTGCAACCACATCTCATGTATAGTATAAATTAGCAAATTGTAATTCAGTTTAACATTGTTATTATGTTAATATGTTTAAATAAAAAACATGTTTTAATATACTTAAAATATCTACATAAAATTTAACATTTAAAGTCCAAAAATTTGTTATTAACTATAATAAGACTTAAATAATAAATTAATTTTTACAATGAAGTTATCATTACACGTGAAAGTCATACGACTATTACTGCACAAGAATTGGTTAATCCGTTCCCACCATAAGCTGTCATTCATATTGCTATTCATAATTCCCGTGTGTTTTGCTATAATAACACTCGAGTTAAGTGGCATTAAAAGGGACAGGAATTGGGGTAAAAGAGATAAAATACTGAACGCCACGAAAACTGCAATCCATTATATCGCCAAACAATTATCAATGTGTTAAATACTATGAACCTGCGTTATAACAGTGATTACCTGGATATAGTCTATTGCCCTAATAATAGCTACACGAATAAGCTTATGGTGAAAGCGGGTGACTATTTGGCCACAAAATATCGGCACAGGTATGAGGAATTCATATGAAATTTATATTTAAATTAAAGCACCAATGACAATTTGCTACCAGATTAAGTATGCGCACAATTGGTGTGGATAGCGAGCAAACACTGTTATCCCATATAAAACATTTGGTGCTAGATGAGAAACGTAAGTTGCGAGATATGGTGGCCGTTGATTTTGGTAGTGATTGGGAACAGGGACAGGTAGGTCACGGCGATACTACTGATAGCCGACCACCCGGGCAACTTTACTACTCATTGAGTATCACCGACGCTGTCTACTGGAATGGCGACGACTATAATAATTATTTAATACAATCGCAAAACCGATTGAAATCATTCATACGATTCCCAAACGGTTACTATTACCGCTATCCGGACGACATTTACATTGAGTCCGGTTTTTGTGAAATACAAGTGGCTATAGATTTGGCGCACATTTCACTCGTTAGTAACACGAGTGTCGATAATATCGATGTTTATCGTCAGTTAATGCCATTTCCCGTGAATTATATGAGTGTGAATACACTTTATATTAGGGAAGACCGATATTATTACGCAATACCTATCATACTATTCGCGCTGTTAGTTATGCTACCGGTGTCTGTCAAACGTATAGTAGAGGACAGACAGACCCGGGTTACGGACTACTTGTTTCAATTGGGAATCTCCAGAGCCCATCACTGGATCACTATTATCATAGACTCCCTGTCCGTTATCGGTGCTCAACATGTGATACTTATACTAATAATCTATTTGTATAAACTCGTATCCGGAATATCATTGACATTATTCTCAGTGTTTTCGCTATTATTTCTCATTCAATGCATACTATTCGCGGGATTTATATCCGTATTCTTCCGGAGCCCTAATATAGCAATCATTGTAACCATTATTACATGGATTGTCTCATTCGCCATACCAATTGGTTATATATATGCACTGAAAGATAAAAACACCCCGGTACTTGCGTTTATGGATTTTGAAACCATATCATGTCTGTTACCTAATTGTGCCCTATTTTGGTTCATTCATATATGTTTAGGACTTGATATGAACGCTAATGCCAGTGCTAATTGGTTGAATATTTTTTCACTTGGTTATATATTGGATGAATTAACAATAAGCCATGTATTTTTAATAATAATAATCTCATATCCAATTTATGGACTATTAATTTGGTACTTATCGTCAGTCATACAATTCAAATACACAATTAATAAACCCTTTTATTTCTACTATAATATTGCAATTTATTGTACACATAATGTATATAAATTATATGTGAAACCCTAATTCCTAATGCTATTTACTGTACTGTTAGGGATAGTACGGTAATAGTGAACATTATAATTTATAAATTATCAGGATGACACTATCAAACTGTCATTTATATAATAGGCCTACAAATTGGTGTTTAAACTGTAAACAGGACTGGCCTTCCAGTCCCATTGAAGGACGTGTTTTTCAATTGATTACTACTTTGGTTGCATTTACGAGTCAATTATATCAATATTATAAATACTGTGTTACTCTAAATCGTTGCAAACACTCGTTATAACACTATATTATGTATACAGTAGTAGTTCATTTTAAACATAATCACCTAGCACTGTACTAATAAGTGGCTTTAAATTATTTTAAATTAAAAATAATTTTTTAAATTCAATATTACTAGTGGTCGTATAAATAAAGTTTTAAATGTGTTTTTAATTATAACTCAAATCGTGAAATATATTTCTCAAAATGAAGTTATCGTTGCACGTGAAAGTCATACGACTATTACTCCACAAGAATTGGTTAATCCGTTCCCACCATAAGCTGTCATTCCTATTGCTATTCGTAATTCCCATATGTTTTGCTATACTACCCCTCCTGTTAGGTGGCGGTAAAACGGACAGGTATTGGAGTACCGGCGGTGGAAAGCCATAAGGAGACCTATTCCTGGAAAATAACATTATGGTTAAGACCCCTATTACTTGAAATGACATCAT